GAGCTGATCCGTGCTGGTTGCTGAGGAAATACATCAACTTCGCGCTATCGATCGCCGGATCGGCTTTCACCATGGACGAAGCGGAGTCCAGCCCGGGGTCGTCACATGTGGTTGCCGCAAGCCCGCCGGCCACTCCTTCGTCGAATCCGGCCTCCGCTTACTCAGGCCTGCCGTGTGAAACTACTTTGTTTGGTCTTCCAAAAGAGGACACAACTAGAAATCAGTGGTTAAGTTGTATTTACAACACCGTTCCAGAACAGTTTAACCCAAATATTCAGATGTGTCCAGCGCATTTTATGGAGGACTGTTTCCTGATCCTGGTAGAGTAGACTACAATGCCGGCTGTTCTGACTCACAGACTGTAAGTACGTTTTCATTTTAAGGATTTGCCACTGATGATTCAAACGAGAGTTTTGAGCAGTGTAGAGTAGCGCTTGTTGTTTGTCATTTCTCTGATCACAAATGCAGACATGGTTTTATGTTTACGCGGCGTGATGCAATGCAACACGAAAAAAAAGACATAAGTCATTATAATCCGTAATTATGTCCCCACTGGATGCAACAAATGCCTCGTTTGTAATGGGTTTCATTGGTTTTGTCTCATTGCTCCATCACAGTAGTGTTGGGTCGTTCTTGAACGATTCGTTCATTTGAACGAATCTTTAATGTGACTCGGGAAGAACGAGTCGTCTCGGGGAGTGATTCGTTCAGTCGCGCATGCACAACATCCTATAGGTTCTGTACTGGAATTAGTCAAGTAGTTCACCTGGTTCGAGTCTTCGGGTTTGAGTCGTTCGTTCATCACGTGACAGCCCCTTAAGTTTAACCAATGCAGTCTGAGCCGGAAAGAGAATTGATTAGTTCATCTCTCGAAGACTTGTCAGATAAGAGGTGAGGTGAGGTGAGCTAATCATAGACTGAAGACCCAGGTAAACAATGAAGTAATCTTTTCTGTTTCTTATAGCAGTTTTGTATTGTTTGTAGTGTGATCAACGTTTGCGTAAGTAGTATACGTATTAGGTAGTATACGTATTAGGGAAGTAACATGTAACATTTTAATTATATTTTGCTAAAATGAACGAAATGACTCGAAAAAAGATTTGTTCATTTTGCTGAACGAGACTCAAAGGTCCGAGTCTGTAAAATGATCCGAACTTCCCATCACTACATTATAGTATGGTAAGGGGCGTAACTTTTCTGTCACACGCTTGAGGTATTCGGCCAATCACAACGTACTAGATAACTGGCCAATCAGAGCACACCTCGCTTTTCAGACCGATGAGCTTTGTAAAAATCGACGTGTTTTAGAAAGGCGGGGCATAGAGGAGAAACAATAATGTACATTGTGGAAAATAATGTGTTTTTTGAATTATAGTATGGTAAGGGGCGTAACTTTTCTGTCACACGCTTGAGGTATTCGGCCAATCACAACGTACTAGATAACTGGCCAATCAGAGCACACCTCGCTTTTCAGACCGATGAGCTTTGTAAAAATCGACGTGTTTTAGAAAGGCGGGGCATAGAGGAGAAACAATAATGTACATTGTGGAAAATAATGTGTTTTTTGAACCTTAAACCGCATAAACACATTTCTTTACACCAAATACACAAAATAATGTTCTTTTTAGCAACATCATATGACCCCTTTAAAACAGTAATGATATATATGACTAAACACAAGAAAAAAATTATAAACTATCCACAAAAAATTATAATAAAAAAAATAAAGTATGTTCTGAACATACAAATGTGCTGTAAGAATACAGTCCAGTCAGTTGGCATATTTGTACTCTGTAGTGAAGTCAGAGAAAAAGAATCCTATGACAGTAGTTAAAAATTGAAAATTCTATAATGTAATAAAATTGAATAGAGCATTTTTGTGTCTAGTGGCTGAGGAGAATGGATTTCCTCTACCAGAAGCTCCCAGTGACATGCCTCCTCCACCAGCCCCTGATGGCCTTGATCTTCCAACCCCACCACCTCTGCCGTGTGACGAGAACTTTGAAGGTACAAAAGTGGCAAAACAAAAGCACGTTTGTCTAAAGGTGGTATTTTGTTTTGTATGATGCATTATATCTTGCTCCAGAATGCTCAGTTTGTATGATTACATGTTTGCTTTGTCTTACAGGCAGCTTATCTATGCTTTTTATCTTTGTGTTGCTTTTGTTTATTTCTGTGAGCTTTTATACTCCATGCTCTTATTTTCACACTTGTCTCTCTCTCTCTTCTCACTCAGCTCTGCGCTCTCGCCGCTCACGGGTGCGACGTCATCCTCCTAGCTCTCGCTCGCTGTCTCTGAGGGTCCGCATGGGCCCCAGTGCTCGCTCGCTGTACACGCGTTCGCTTTTTCTGCCTTCTGCTCAATCACGTAAGGCCCCACTCCTTCCTGAGACCCGATTCATTAAAACCACCCCTCAGATTTCATTGATAGTTTCTTATTATGATACCAAATACATTGACACCACATACCAAAAATAGATTCTTATTTAGCCATGCACACCATCCAAAGACCATTTAGTTCACTTTTATTGTTCAACCCTTAAAAAAAATCTCAAATGTGTTCCCTTGATAAACACCTGTCAGTCATGATACCCCCACCCCCTCCATACCCGCCTCCTCAGGCTCCGCCGGTTTCGTTCAGCCCATTCTGCAGGATCCCTGCCCGTCTTGAGCACCTGGGTAAGTGAGGCCTCTTTGTGCGTTGCTGTCTGACTCTCTTCTCTTCCTTTATATTTGCCACTTACCTCTCTTCAGCAAGCCAAATCAGCACATAATATGACCTCATATCACACCATCCTGCACACAACAGGACACTGGATCTACATCCTCAGCCAAGTTAGATCTCTCTCTTAAAAACTCAAATGAGTTGAGTGATCTTAAAGGGATAGTTCAGCCAAAAATGAACAGTCTGTCATCATTTACTCACCATCATGTCAATACAAACCTGTACTCAACTCACCTTTTAAGACTTGAATACACTACATCTGAATAGATTTTAAAACACTTACTGATTTAAACCGTTACAAAGAACTGTTCTAAAATCGGCTGAAAATATCAGACATGTTTGATATCCTCCGGCTGGATGGAATCAAAGTCTGAAGCTAAAAAATTGGACTCTGTGACCACCATACACTACGCAATTTTCTATTAAATCTGTCAACTCAAATTGTTATTAACTACAACTATTAACAAAATTGAAAAGCAGGTGCTCAACCAACTGTAGAAAACTTAATAAACAAATAAATAATAAAAATAAACATTTCAAAGGAAAAAGTCAAATTTCGACCAACTTAATCAGACATCCTAAACTATTAAATATTGTTTTACATTTTTTTTTTTTTTTAATCTTACCGACCCCAAACTTTTGAACCGTAGTGTAACATTGCACATGGTGCACAGTTCAGGTGTGGACAGCCTGGTTAGGACTGAAATTGTGTGACTACTATATGTATTACAGTTGATGATTAACTATTATTAAAAAGACTGACCTATAAAATGGATCTAAAACAAGAAAAAAATTATAAAATGTACACAAACAAATGCATACAAATACATGTTGTAAAAAAACAGTCCGGTCTGTAGACATTTTGGACGCTGTAGTGGAGTCAGAGGAAAATAAACTAACACTGGTGCATTATATTCAGTCTTCTGAAGCCATATGATAGCCTTTTGTTTGTCTTTGGTGAACTATCTCTGTAAAGATGAAGTGTGTCATTTCAAGTGTCAAAAATGAAATTGTGAAAATAACTGCAATAATTATTCATAATTGTATTTTTATAAAATTAGAGATGCATTGTTGTTAGTTGTATTGTTTGATGACCAGTGTAGGCGTCCATATGTTGAACGGAAATCACCCACGTCTCCTTCAAACACACTTGTGATCACGAAGTGTGCATTTGCACGTTGTCAGTTTGTTAATGTTTTGTGTCGATGCACATTTAGACCTTGAGATTCCAGCACCGCCCCCATCGCCACCACTAGACGGTTTTGACAACTTTGAAGGGTTGCCCCCTCTACCTCCTCCTATTGATTATGACATAACTGCACCAGCCGACTATTTGGATAAAGGTAGGCTCATTTATGATGACTCGTTCAGGTAAAGAATTGAAAATGACTGTATTGACAGCCAAGACAGATCATTTTGTAATTACACACTCAGAACATGAGATATTAAATATATCTTCAGGTACTGATTTTTTCATTGTGATTCTTTTTCCTACCAAGTGGTGGCACTATATAACTACGACACAGGCAAGCCAGGTGACCTGGTGTTTCAGGAGGGCGATATCATCTACCTCACCAGCAGGAATGAGGATGGCTGGTGTGAGGGCGTTCTCAATGGAGTAAACGGATATTTTCCTGGCAACTATGTGGAGTCCACCGCTTAACTGGCCATAAGAAGCCAGAATGTCAGTGAATGAATTACTGCGACCGAAGGCACCTTGAATTTCTATTTCTAAAGTAAAACAGTGAAATCAGCTGTATGTTTGAAACTGCGGAAATGTTTTTATACTATGTTGACCTTTTAAAACATTTAAAATGGAATTAACATGCTGACTGTTTCCAGCAGAGATGAGTTTGTATTTTAAAGTTTACTTTGGTCTTAAATGATGATCATAATTGTTCTCAGGACTTTTTAAGTTATAATCGTAATGTACAACATATTAAGAAACTTTAGGTGTATTTGAAAAATTCACAAAGTCGTGTTAAATAGTGGATGTTTAGTGGTTAATTCTGTAAACATATTTTCATGGTTTGTTTGAATAGACAATTGTGCAAAGTAAATAATGAAATAATATATATGTGTAATATATTATAATGCACTTTCCTAATTAACAACTTTTATTACTTATGATAAATTACATTTAATTGGTAACATTTTCTTGATTCCCTTGCAAATATAGTATTTTCCCAAACATTGTATGCTCTATTTAGTGAAATAAATGTTAATGTGCACCACATTGGCCCAATTCAGTCACAATTTCAATGTTTTATGATACCAACTTAGCATTTACAGTCCATCGAATCAATAAACTGTTGACAGTAATGTCTGGGAATGAAGTTGCATTTGTTTTATGTCATTTCTAACCATCCACTCTCTTTTCACTTTATTTATAAGATCATTTGACCTCTTCGTTTTACATTGATGCATTTAGCAAACACTTTTATCCAAAGCGATTTACAAAAGATAAAACAAAAGCAGGTTGTCAAGGAACCAACACAATTCATAATATACAATGGCAGGTTTATTTGACAACTAGATTAGGAGTTCATTCATGGGGAACTGGCTCATCAGCACCATTCTTAAACTTAAGTGTGTTTCTCTTTATTTCACATAAATGAAAGGGAAAATTCTGGGCAGATATAATTATGTATTTGGAGTGAGCACAGCTGTTTTGAACACTGAGGTACTGGAGTCACTACCAGGCATCTTAACTAGATTAAATAGTAAGACTTTCTTGATCAGCTGTCTTTGCCAGAAAGATCATATTGATCCACCAGCTGTACCAAAACCTAACCAACACAAACCAGCCTGTTGTAAGGAAGCTTTCACTTTTCTCAGGGAGAGGCAGTATAATGATATAGGCAATATAATGCCTGTTCTTTAATGGTAAGGTAATTTAGGTAAATAAAAGACAAATAATGAAGCACACTGTTGATGGTGTACTCTTAGAAAAACAAAACGGTCACTGGGTATGGTACCTTTTTAAGTGCTGCAAAAACAAAATATCCATACAGGAAACACCTGTTATATAGGTACTGTGTCTTTAAACACCAGACAGTCACCATAAAAGTGTTCAAACTTCATTATCAGCACTTTAAACCCTCCCTCAGATAAGACCCAGTCTCAAATCAGAGCAGTGCATTCAACATCTACTTTATTGTCGTCATCACCTGTGTTCTTTGAGGTAAGACTTCTACTTGTTTTTCAGAGATGTGCTTGAAAACTTGCTGGGTATAAGAAGGAATCATTTTACTAACTACATAAAATGTGTATGATGTTCACCTATGCTAGTAGAATATCACTGACATGTGACTGGGCTTGTATAAATATACTGATCTGTAGGCTTTTTAATAATGTTCAAGGCAGTTTTTCGACAGCTTCAGTGTTTGTATATTAGCAAGAGTTTTGTGACTCCCTTTGTTGGCTGGAAAGGACAGGTGAGGTCTAAAACACACTGCTGGCAGTAAGTGAAAATGGGAGAAATCAACATGGCAGCTGTTTTATGGTGTCAGTGGAAGTGTTTCTTGATGGGTGTTGAAGGGGTGCTGCTCTAACACATAGGCCTACAGCAAGGCGTTCACAAAACTTTACAGGGCCTGTGACAAAATGTTTAGCCCACTTGGGCCCAATGAGTAAGCTATCCCATATAGATGACCTTGGTGGCCCTCAGCAACAGCCTTGACTTATAGTAAAAGACCAATTATGAATGGAAAAGCTTGTTATTTACCTCCAAAGAGTTTGAAATATTTATATATATATTTTGCTTTATAACTGTGGTTTGTTATCATTTATCTGTCCTCATTACAGAATTGGGACATTTCCGGTTAGCGTCACTGTCTTGACTCATTAGGTTACAAAAGTTTATTATGGGGGTTAAATATTCACACATTGATTTTCAAAGGTCTATGAATTGCAAAATTCTTTATTTACTTAACATTTACTTATCAAATGATATACAAGCCTTGTGGAATTCCAGATTTCTAAGAGAAACGAATAAAATGAAGGGTTTTGTATGTTTTTGCAAAAAAAAGATGCATTTCAACAAAGTACTGTACAATATAAATTTGCCTCTTAAATGGTTGAGGTATGAAAGACTATTATATTTGATAATTATATCAAGCTCTTGCCTGTCCAGTCCACAATGAATTCAATATTTTATGTATATTAATGATTATAGACAAATTAAATGTCATCATCCAAATATAATTTATTTCCTAACAGAGTTGCTTCTGAATTGTGAATTTCTTCATTGCCATGGAGAGGAGTGATGATACATTTTTAGTATTTAAGTATGTATACCGACTTTCAATACTCTTTTATAAAACAGAACACACATAAGATCTGTTCCAAAACCATACAAATTATGTTATTGTGTGTGTGTGTGTGTGTGTGTGTGTATATATATATATATATATATATATATATATATACGCACAATAATGTACAATTAGTATACTATATATTGTGTTATTTTAACCTCACATTAAATTTACATTAAAAACATGCCTGTTTTCCATTGTGCAATTTTTACATTTGAAGATCATAAAATGTATGATATTTTGTATGTAATTATTCTCTTATGTATCTGTAGTTTATTTCCACATTCCGGAAATTTGAAAAATATCCATTCACGCTCTATCTTCTCTTTATCTGTAGGATATATGAATGGTTTATGTTCTTTATCATCACTCACAACTTCAAATCACATGAGCACACATGCTCACACTCATGCTGTATCTTAACACAGCTCAATCGATGTTGTTTCAGGATCTTCATACCTATCGTAACCTTTGGGTTTTTGTCGATCTGCTGTGCTGGCTGCTGTAAAGTATTCCAGCGAGTTCGTAAGGAGCGCGTGGAGCATGTGCAGACTCAAGTTCGAGCCGTGGATCAACCGTCTGTCTACGTCATTCCCATCTCTCTGTCTGAAGATGAGCTGCACAGACCACCGCGCTACAGCACTGTACAGTTCTGCGAGCTGCCCCCTGCTTATCACGAGGTAACCCTGAAGATATTGTGGAAAACACTGTAAAACAATTCAGTGGCTTTGTAAATATTACATGAATAACTTAAAGAAATAGTTCACCCAAAAATGAAAAGTCTGTCATCATTTACTCTCCCTCAAGTTGTTCCAAACCTGTATTGAGCATCGTTCTTCTGTTGAACAGAAATATATATATATAAATATATTCAATCAATATATTATGTAATCAAAATATAATAGCCTACTGACCAGTTAGACAATTATTACTCATTTCAATATTTTTTGCCTTTAACAACAACTTATAAAATATATGTGTGCTATTGCTTGCTAATAATCATAGCTACATTTTTAAAGCTGCATTTTTAATGTATTCAAATGAATATATATATATAGGCTTTGCTCTAATGTTTGAGTCAAATGAACTTTTTGGGTCTTATAGTGCACTTAGTTTTATTTGTCATGGTACCAAAAGTAGTTATTCTTGTCTACTTTTATTCAGTTTTCATTTATTCAATTCATAAGGTATATGGATTCATTGATTTCACAGCTTTAAAGTGTACTCAGTATTTTAAAGTGTATAATATTTCACCAAAAAAACAAAAAAAACATCAAGCACACCAGTACATTAAGTTCAAGTTGTTAAAATATCTTGTCCTGAAATGTTTAAATGAGCTCTTTGTCCTCACTGGTAATGATGATTAATTCCTGCTTCTGCAGTTGAATCTGAAGCCCGAGGCCTTTCCTGTGGAACCCCCTCCTGCATATTCAGAATCTGTCTCTCCTTCACCCTCACATTCATGATCATAAGCGCATCTCAAGCACTTGGACTGGTTAAAGGAAAAATAAGAAGCAACGTCATATTCTCATGACTTTTCCAAGGACTACTACTCATGCTACCTATACAAAGGTTTAAATGGTGAGAAAGATAATGTCACAGTTATAATGTCACTGTGACTCTGATGGGATTTTGAACATGTCCTGCAGGGTCACAAAGACAGTTTTGCACAATGAGCAGCAGAACTTGGTTAAAGGTTTAAAAGTATATATGTTTTGTTTTGTGAATATTTATCAATTTTGTACATGCTATAGCTAAACTTTTTTTGTTAACTTTGTGAAATGTGTTCATTTATAAGAAATGTTGTAAATGGTTGACCTGTTGTAAATTGTACAGCTGAAACTGTATGATTAAAATAATGTTGTATAAACACTGGCTCTTAATAATATCCTCAATATATACCTGAGAATATGTTAATGTTATCGAGAGATAAGAAACGATGTGTAGTATAAGCCATCTTTCTTACTGTCACTCTTCATAGTCAACATGCCTCCTGAGCTGCAGCCTCAGGAACCAAAGACTAGAGCATTACCACTGCCACTGCCCTCATGGTCCTACACAGACATAAGCCAATGCATTTATTATAACTCATAAAATATGAACCATACAGTGGGTACGGAAAGTATTCAGACCCCCTTAAATTTTTCACTCTTTGTTATATTGCAGCCATTTGCTAAAATCATTTAAGTTAATTTTTTTTCCTCATTAATGTACACACAGCACCCCATATTGACAGAAAAACACAGAATTGTTGACATTTTTGCAACAACACCTTTGGAGAATTCACAGCTTTGGCTATTTATGAAGGTGCATTGACAGTTAAATACACAGTCACATAAGTGCAATTTTGTTAGTAATCAGAATATGTAAAACCAAAAGATAAAAATAAATACATATATATATATATATGTAAAACCAAAAGATAAAAATAAATACATATATATATATATATACAAAATAAAATAGAAAAATGCAACATAAAAGCATAGTTTTTCTATCTACCTCTTCAAACACTTTAATGTCAGCAAATGTTATATAATTGCATACAGTCATATTGCCAAGTGTTTCTCTCTTTCTGTCCATTTATTGATTTAATATGAAATATTTGTTTCATTGATGTAATTAATTGATTTCTTATTAAACATCTACCACCAAATTAAATAATGCCATTTCATTATTTACATGGGCTACTTATAATTTAGAAATAATATTTTATAATCAAACTGCATCATTTCAGAACATTTCAGTTTGTGGCATGTTTTATATTATATGCAAATCCAAGAGGCTTGCGAGTTCTAGATTAGAAAACATGCTTAAATAATAACTTTTTACTACCATCCTCATTTCTCATGCCACATAATCTATAGACGTGTAAAAGCTTTTACTGTGCCTGTGTTGTAAGTGCAATGGAATTATGGTTGCATTGGAATGTTTACTGGTACAAAGGTCTACATTAGTACTGTACCTGTGCATCACGACTTACGTAGACTATTGTAGACATCACGTCTTAACTCGGT